GTGGAGTTCCCACTCTACAAAGCTCTGAGTCATGGGAGCAGGGAACCCCTCACAGGGAGACGGCCACACTGGAGGGGAGGGGCAGCTGGGAGGAAGCCGGGCTGAGACCTCTGCAGGTCACGGGCTCGGGAGTCAGCCAGACCCGGGCTCAGGCCGCCTCTCTGAGGCTCTGTTTCCCATAGACGAAGGGCGGCCACGACAGCACCTGCCTCCCAGGGTCCAAATGATGATGCAGACATGCCGCAGGTGAAGCCCAGGCCCCACCTCCAGCCCAGACTCCACCCCTGCCCAGCCCCCGAACTTACCTGGGGGCTGCTGGTGCCAAAGCCCAGGGTGGGTGTGGTGGGCACGGACATGGAGTGGGGACCCATGGGGGAGCTGATGACCGAGAAGGGCGGGCCCATGCCGTTGATGGGGGAGCTCAGGGTGCTGATGGGAGAGTGCAGCTGTCCAGGGGAGCCCAGCGAGGAGCCGATACCGGGCCCCAGGGAGGGGTGCAGCGAGGGGGCCGCCATGGAGCCGCGTCCCGTGGGGGAGCTGAGGGGCGAGGAGTTCACCTGGGTGGAGAAGTCTGCAAGACAAGAACCCACGGAGGGTGTCAGGAATCCGCACGGACTGGCCTGCGCCCCCTCAGGCCACCAAACCAGGGAAAGCCGGCCCTGGGCAAGGCCCCAGGCACCCCCATCCCAGTGGCTCACTGACAAAGACTCAGATAACACAGGACAGGGTGCCCGGAGCGCCCCTCCAAGGCGCCACCCCTGCCCCCCATTCCCACTTTAGGACTCAGGCGGGGCCCCAGGCAGATGCAGGGACAGCAGCTGACGGTTGCCGTCAAGACGCTCTAAGATGCCCATCTGAGCAAGGCTGCTGCTCGAACCCCCAACACCCCAGGCCTGTCGACCCTGAATGGCCAGTGGCCAGGAGGGGCCAGCGCCTCCGCCCATGCACACAAGGGATCAAAGTGAATGTCTGGGAAATAGCCTAAAAAAATGAAGGCTCATGTTTTCAGAGCATCCACTACGCAGCAGAACCAAGTCCACATCCCCAGTGTGGACTGATGCCTGGAGCGAGGAGGCGGCGGGGGCACTGCTATCACCCCATTTCGCAGCTGGGGAGCCGAGGCCCTGTGTCCTGACAGGTGCCCTGGCCGGGCACAACCGGCGCCGGGAGGCTGGCCCACTCCCAAGTGGGCCTTATCCGTCCGGCCACACTGCCCAGGCCTGCTCAGTGGCCAAGACACCAGACCCCCAGGCCCTGCAGACTCCCGGGGCCCCCCAGAGGTACAGACTTCCTGCATGCCCAGGCCCGGAGGCATGCGGCGAGGGCAGGGAGCTTCCAGGTGGGCCTGGTGGATGGGCCCAGCTGTGTGCCAGGAGCGGGGTCGGGCAGCCCGCAGAGGCTGTGAGGAGAGGCTGGGACCTCCCACACATCAGCCTTTCATCTCAAGGATTTCAAAGCCCCAACAACCGCTCATTAGGCCTCCCCACCCCACCCCGAGGGCTCAGCAAGCACAAGCACCCCGAGCACGGAGGTTCTCAGGTGGTGAATCCACTGCCCAGGGGCCTGTGCAGGCTGGAACCGGAACCGGAGGAGCCCAAACAAGGCAGCTGGAGCCCAGCAGGACGCCCTGGGCCAGACACGCCCCCCTCGGGGCCACAGCCTTCCCATCTGCTCTGAGAAGTCCCGCGGGGCCGTGGGCACAGTGGAGTGGCCTCCGTCCATGCACACCCCAGGTCGGGGCGCACGCCTGGCTGCATCTCTCAACAGCCATGCAACCAGTCAACAGCTCAGGACGACTCTGCCTCCCTAAACCTCAGGGCAGCTGTGTTCCAAGCAGTCCCTGAGCGCCAGGCCCAGAGCAGGAGGAAGCCGTGTGTGTGACTGCCTGGTCCCCGAGTCCTCNTGGAGGCTCGGGGGTCAGGGACTGGCCGAGCAGTGGTGTGAGCTCGGGCCTCTCGGAATCAGTAGGTGGTGACCACCCGGGTGATCCCGCGTGCTGCAGAAGGGGAAACCAAGGCCCCGAGAGGACGGACGGGCCAAGCTTCCCAGCCCCATTCCCATCCTTGTGCCCTGCAGGGCCCGCTGGCACAGAGGGCGCGAGGAGGGAGGGGCTCCGCCTCCCCCCTTCACTGTGACTTAGGGGAAGTCATCTCATCACTCAGCCTGAGGTTCCTCGTGCACAAAACTGGGTGGCACAGTGCCTGCTCAGAGGGCTGATGCTGGGGTAACGGGGCCGACTCGTGGGCAGTGCTGACAGACTGGGCTTAGAGCACAGCAGTCAGCAGGGCCTCGGAGGCAACGCCACCAGCTGGGACATGGAAGGCGGGCGTCCCAGGCGTAGGGGCCACCTACGCAAATATTTGGAGGTGGGGAAACCAAAGGACTGTTTGGAGAAAGGCAAGAAACCGGTGCAGCCGAGGGTGAAGGGACAGCAGCAGGGGCCAAGGGCAGGTCCCCAGGGGCCCCACGGTGGGAAGCCATTGAGGACACTGAGAGGAGGCATCTCCCGGGCTGCAGCCTTCCCACAGTGGGAGCCCAGCCATGAGCCCATGAGGCTGGATCTGCCTGGCCGCCCCGAGGACAAAAACACAGGCCTTTATTTCCTCTGTCTGCGGTTGCCCAAACCCTGCTGGGTGGAGAGGGGGCCACACGCGCTGTCTCCCAGCATCCCACGTGCAGGCCCGTAGGACTGCGGCCTGCCCTAGGTAAACCGGGGCAGGGCCGCAGCACTGAGGAGAGCTGTCCAGGGTCCCAGGAGGCGCGATGCACAGAGAGGTCTGTCATGGCCAGCGCCATGGCCACGCTGGCTCCCAGGCCCTGTGCTGCACACCCTTGTGCTCCCAGGCTCCAGCTTCCACTGGGACAGCAGCAGCCACAGCTGGGGACCCGCGGAGACACTGCCCATGTGGGAGGGGACGGCTGCACTGCCCACTCTCTGCAGGGCCCGGGTCACCCACTTTGTTCCTCTGCCTCAAGCACTGGACAGTCCCACACGGCGGCGCGGGCAAGGCCGCTCGGGGCCGGGGGGTCCTTCTCCCCCTCCCCAGCTCCAAGCGCCAAGCCTCGGCCGGGCTCACCACGCCCAGGACACAGCACGGGAAGCCTGAAGCCTCCTTCTGCCACACACGCTCCCCTCCCCCAGTGGGCTCCACAGCCCCCCACCAAGGGATGCCGCCCTCCTGCACTGCCCCGTCTCCTAGGAGACCCAGGGCACCAGCCCCTTCCTGGAGCCTGCCGGCGCCGCGCCGCGTGCACGCGCAGCCAGGGTGGGGGCCCCGGCCATTTCCCCTTTCACATCCTCAGTGTTGATTTCTGTTCCCGCTGGAGCCTCTGGGACTTACTAAGAGCCGCGGGCCTCACCAACGCCTCGCCCAGGCCTCCTGCCTGTCTCTGCCACCCCTCTCTCCACACCCACCACGCCCTTCCTTCCCCAACCATGGCAGCCCCCGCCGCCAGCCCACATGGCGGCGGCCCTCACCCACGTCAGGACTGGGATGGGTGGCCCCAGCCCGCCGAGCGCCACGAGCAGGCCTCCATCTGCCCACCACGGCAGGGGCAGAGCCCGGGAAGCGTACCTGGCCTCACGCGGACACCCAGTCGGGGCCTCATGGCCACGGTGCCCACAGCAAGAAGCAGGAGGGGCTGACCGCCCCACTGCGCCCGGGAAGGTCCTGCAATAGGGAGGCTGGCAAGGTCCAGACACTAAGGTGCCCGTGGGTGCCAGGTGCTGTGGGCGAGCTCTGAGCTGTGGTGGGGACGCTCCCTGGGTCCTACAAGGGTGGAGCCCCCAGACCAGAGACAGACGTGGGGCAGTCAGGCGCCCAGACCCCCACACGTCCATTGTCTGCACGGTGGGGTCAAGTGGGGTGGACTCAGGGCTGTGGACTTGGGCAGGCCGCGCTCGGCAGAGCGCCAGACCCTCCCCAACACCAGCTGGAGTCAAAGAAACTCTGGTTCTGGCAACTGTGACTTTGCAGCTGTGGGGTTCTTTTGAGGGGGGGTCACACACCCCCTTGCACTCCACCCACACTTCCAAGAACATGGGGAACCCCAGGTTTCTAAGACAAACTGATGAAACCCAGAAGCTGAACTCAGCTCCCAGGGAAGGAGTGACGGGGGACGGAGCCAAAGCAGGGCCAGGGGCCCAGGCCAGAGGCCGAGCACAGGGCTCAGGCCACGGCAAAACCGAGTGCAGCCCAACCACCTACAGACGGACAGACACGGACGGCTGGCCCACAGGACATCAGCGCACCCCACTCTCCTCCCAGGCCTCACTCCTGCCCCAATCCCCTCATCAACCTCAAGGCACCTGGGCCCCTCCTCACAAGCAACTTGGATTCAACAAGCTCCTCCTACAAGCCAGAGACCCAGCTGT